AAATAAATAAAAAAAAAAATAAATAAATAAATAAATAAAAAATAAAATAAAATAAAATAAAAATTTTAAGTTCTTTACTATTTAGGAGAATTCTAGATATATCTTAAGTTTAATTGGACGAGAACATGTAAAAGAAGAAACATTAAATGTTATATAACTGGATATAAATTAACAAAACAAATGCACTGAATAAATTAAGAGGAACTTACAATTCAGTCCAATTTACAAATGATTACACAAAACATGGTTGCAACTCTCAGTACAAAAAAAAACTCACAAAAGGAATTGCACCTCCACCTCTAATTATCTTTAGGTGATGCTGCATGTACTAATTAGTGTATCAATATATGATATGATATTATTGTTGACTCCGCCTATTATACAAATTACAAATACTCAAAACCTCTAAAAAATGTATCATATCATCTGTTAATACTCTAATTGGTATACCAATTAATACATATAGGGCATGTTTGTTTGGATGGACATGAGCTTGGGATTGGATTAATAGTCCAATAAAATTGTTAATCCGATGTTTGATTAAACAATTAAAGTATGGACTAATTATTTTAAACTTGACTATTAGTTAAGATATGATACATAATCTAACGAATTCGTAGTTCTAGGATTATTAATCATGGGAATGCTAATCCAGTCCGCTCAAACAAACATGGCCATAGTATTTATTATCTTTTGTCATTTGGATTAATTTGTAGTTCTTCTATAAATTAACTGGTTAGCAAGTGTGGACTGAACCAGGAAAAGTTGATTTAGGCCCTTTGGATGATGATCGATTTATAAAAGTAGATGAGGCCTCCTTGGTTAACGTGGGCGTTTTCAACATGGGGTGATGCTCTATGATTATATGTAAGCAAACTGGAAAAAAAAAGTAAATTTAAGTGTATAAATAATTTTTACCTAATGAGAAAAAAATATGAGATAAAAATAAGTATCATATATATGGTGGAATCATGTATGGAACCTACCATTTCACATGTGTATTGATATGTGAAAATTTCTGTTTTCATATACAATTGAGCTAGTTTTGTGGGTGTAATGTTAGGATTACATAATTTAAACCAATAAAAGGACTAAGAAAAATAATAATACTAAGGTTTCAGTACACAAGTGTTGAATTTGAATTACACATTGTTTTTCTTTGTCTGAATTTCATGTCCCTAACATTACTTAATTTTGTAGTAATTAAGATTGTGATATTTGACAAAAAAAAAAGGTTCTTTGTTGAAGCTTAAATAAGCAGATTATATATATATATATATTGTAGAAATTTTTTATATATATATATATATATTATAGAAATTTTTTATCAAATTATTTGCTGTAAAAATAATTTAAATAATTAAAAATTCAATTATTCAAAAGTTGAGAAAATGGTACTTTTAAATACTTATATAGACTAACAAATTTCTAACTTAGAATAAATTGTAACACATTGAAACAAACCGTATCATGCGCACATTAACTTTTCATCTGAAGATGTTGGCCCATCTCCTAACATGACTTTGTGGTACAAAAAAAAATATATAAAGTTTCATAAAGAAATTTCAAGGAGAAAAAAAGGTAAATTATAAAAACACTTTTTGAAATTTGTTTAAAGGCAGTACTTTGGTCCAGTTCAAAATCGGACTTGACCGTATTGTCGGGCCCGTGAGGGCCCACCACGGGTTCTGTTTTGATAATCCGAACCGTTCAATGTGTAGAACTCGTCGAGTACTATATACTTGTAAAAAATCACGTTGATCGGATATCGATAGCTTTGTGAACAAAACAATTTTTTATCAACCGTTAATTTTTTCACCGTCCATTTTTTTTTTTATACAAAACTGATTTGATCACATAGCTATTGATATCCGATCAACGTGATTTTTTACAGGCATATAGTACTCGATAAGTTCTACACATTGAACGGTTCAGATTATCAAAACGGGCCCAAAAAATGGACCCCATGGGCCGAACTGGACGGGTCCAGTCTTGATCTCAACTTGAGACAAGCTGGACCTTGTTTAAAATATAAATAATTTTTTGTGATTTAAAAAATTATATTTCCAATTTACAAGTTTCTAATTGCATAATAAATGACTTCTTTTATTAATAAATCATCAAGTCAGTTAATTATTTTAATAATATCAGAAATATATTTTAAGTAACAATTTAGATAATTTTATTGTTATATAGAAAAGTAGTTAAATGTTTTTATTTTTTATGTTAATTTTGTTAAATAAGAAATTCTGACAAGAAGGTATTTGTAACTTTCAAAATCGTAGAGGACAATTCGTATTTTAAGTAAATTTCAGAAGATGCATTTATAATTTATCCCAAAAAAATCAATAAACAGCTACAAATATATATATATATATATAATAAAATAAAAACTCCACCAAGTTGGACACTATTCCAAGTTGGACACTATTATAAGCGGGAACAAAAAGAAGAAACACAAGATGTTAGAGATTTTTTTTATTTTAAATTTTATATTATTGTTTTGTGTTTTTGTACTAAGGAAATGATATATTGTCATGTAAATGATGATGCAAAACAAAGAAAAATATCTATCACTGAACAAGAATAAAATTGTAAAAAATTCGAGTAATATATTTAGTAACCTACAACTAATATAGAATTTATATTGCAATTTTGCAAGGCGATACAACTCATTAGATAATTATATATATGAGGATATAAATTAACAAATAGAATAAATCAACTACATATATTAATTTTATATTTTAATGATTCAAGTTATATGATTGAATATTAAATTATTTTCTTTAGAATATTTGTAATATGTAATCCGAATATTATGTTGATAGATTAAAAAAAGAAAAGAAAAGAAAAGAAGATTATCAATAACATAAAAAAATGTTTAGGGCCATGAGAAAGGAGAAAATATGCCAACTTGTAAGAAATAGTGTACAAAAAAGTGAACTAAAAGTTAGGATCATTATGAAATTAGTGAGGATTTTGGGACAACACTAATATAATAAAATAAATATAAGGATTCTGGAAGAAAGGAAAGGAAACGAAAGGAAAGTGGATCGAGCTGCTGTCCAGTTTTATACTCTTATCAATGTGAATGTTAACATGTCAATGTGAACATTCACATTGTCAACAGGCCGTTCCGGGCCCGCCCACGGGCCGTGGGCGGGTTTTGGGCAGCCACGAGGTGCGGACTAATTTTATACTCCTATCAATGTGAATGTTAACATGTCAATGTGAATATTCACATTGTCAACGGGCCGGGCTGGGCCCGCCCCGGGCCGTGAGCGGGCTTTTGGCCGCCCATGGGCCGAGGCCTAATTTTATACTCTTATCAATGTGAATGTTAACATGTCAATGTGAATATTCACATTGTCGACGGGCCGGATCGGGACTGCCCGGGGCCGACCATGGATCGCGGGCGGGTTTCGGGCCGCCACGGGACGGGGGTCAATTTTACACTTCTATTAATGTGAATGTTAATATGTCAATGTGAATATTCACATTGTCAACGGGCCGGGCCCGCCCCAGCTCACGGCCGGGTTTTGGGGCCGCCCACGGGCCAATTTTACATTTCTACCAATGTGAATTTTAAAATATGAATGTTCACATCATTAAATTGCTAATCATTCAAAAAATATTTATAAGGGTATCAAAATTAAATATAAGGGCATAAGTGTCCAAGAAAATAGTGTAAATCAAGAAAATGGACTTTATGGAATAAAACTATACATACATGGGACTAAATGGGTTAAAAAATTCCTTCATGGACTTCTTGGGTTAAAACACTTCTAAATTGGACTTATCAATAAAAATCCCTTCTGGATTTTCACTCCAAAACATATGCAACAATATGTCGGCCTTGTTTGGTTTCTTTTTGGAAAATAAATTTTGGAGAAAATTTTTAAAAATTTTATTTGGTTCAGTGATTTTGAAAAAAAAAAATTCAAAACCATGTTCAATCTTCTACACATTAATCAATCACTTTTTCTTTTTCCGCTCTCCTTCTGAATCACTTTTGTTTCTCACACACATCTACTCAACTAAAACAAAATATCAAATCTTTTTAAATTCCCACACTCCAAAACTATTTCCAAAATATACAACCAAACAAACTAAAAAAATTTCTAAACGCTTTTCCCAAAAAAAAATTTAAAGTTTATCTCCCAAAACCAAACCAAACACACCCATACTCTTTCGTCCCAAAAAAAAACTTGAGTTATGGTAGGAACTTCAAATAAATTATCAATTTTTTTATCAAAACTTTCGCATAAGTGTAAGGTCCACACACATGGTAATTTATTTGGTGTCCATAACATTTTTTAAAAAATATTTTGTAATGAATAAAATTCGCCTTTTTTTTTTGTAATGTTTGTAGTGTTATGGATGAAACTTGTATAAGAAAATTGAAATTATATTCAATTGGGCAATATTGTAAGTAATTTTTTTATATTTTCAAATTCATCTTGTTTTTTTATTTTATTTGTGAAATACTGATTTTTTTGTTTTAGTTGGTTCAAAAAAAATTTGGGCCATGTTCTTTACGTGATGTAGTTGGACACCACTACGAACTATACATAAATGGCCAAAAAAATAAAAAATAAAATTGGTGACTATTATTTGATTGTAGTTGGAGACTATTACCCAATTGCTAACAAAAACAAACAAGAAAAAAAAAAGAAAAAAGAAAAGCCTCCCTGAACTGAGCCAAGTTGGTGAATAAATTATGTGCATTTGAATTCCTGTTTTATATTTGAGTCACCTATCTGGACAATAGTAAAATTGTTAGCCAATCTGTAATTGTTAATTACATCTGAATACAGTTAATGCATGTAATATGTATGAAGAAATTCTTTACAACAATCCATAAAATATAGAATTTGAATTAACCATACACGAATGCAAAATACAACAATTGCATAGCACGTTTGTGAATTTTGTACGTCATCTTAAAATATGTAAACAGTTTAGTAGGGTATGCATATATCCTTAAAAACAAGAAATTACAACTAAAATTTCCAAAACACATATTACGAAAAACATTTAAAAGCAGTCATACTGAACAACCTTGTCCGACTACCTACCATTTCGCCGAATTTGGTATAACTCTGCCCTTATTCGATGACACACCTGCGCCATTTCAACGTCCTCGTTCGTAGGCATGACGGCATCGTCTAGGGCAGCCAAATCTGCGCGATCGGGAATATTGTCATATGTGTACTCCGCCGTAGTTCTGACAGCAACAACTAACGCATCATCCTCACTTCTGCGTATGAAATTGTGTAATGCCATAGATGCAGCCACCAACGACACCTGCACTCTACGAAAATCAAACCAAGGCATATTGTGCAGGAATCTCCACCGCGACTTCCAAGCGCCAAATGTTCGCTCAATCACACTCCGCAAAGAAGAGTGGGCACGGTTGAACAACTCATTACGATTCCCCGGCTTGTGACCTTGAAAGTGTGGTTGGTGGTAGTGGTTGCCCTTATATGGTGCAAGAAATCCCTTCTTATTACTGTATCCACTATCCACCATATAATATCGACCTATCAATGTGTACATGTTAATATATATTTCTTTCACGTGTGGCCAAACAAATTGAACATATTATGGCATTGAAAAAATTAACAACTATGTGTAAAAGTCATAAGCCAGGTATTTATATTGTTGCAATTGTTACATGTATTTTTTTGCGAATTTACTGAGGTACACATGACAGTCGTTATGTATATGGAAATGAACGTATGTTATGCCACGAAATTTTTTTGGACAATTCAAATGTGCATTAAAGATGCAGAAGGGTCTACCAATGTATGCACATAAAATGTTGTGTTCGTACGTACCATCCACTGCAGTTGGAAAATTATATTGTGGATCCTCGGTGACAGTGTTTAAAATCCGGCTGTCATGCATGCTACCCTCCCAGCATGCTACTCTCCCAGCAGCATGACACAAAGACGAAACATATATTGAAATCACACACTGCCAGAATATTTTGAGTGTGGCAACCCTTTCGGCTAAAATACGGGGCTGCTTCCGACTCCCTTATGCATGCTGGCACGTGTGTCCCATCCAAGGCACCTAAACAATCCTACACAATTTGAACAAGTAGGCAACCGAATAGTAGCATCAAGTTATGCATTATAGCCTTGCATTTTTTAACTCACATCTTTGTAGAATTTGAAATCGAAATCGATTTGAAGCATAGTTTTGCACACCTTAAACGACAAATACTGTGGTTGGGTCTGCAGGTGGGGATCCCTCCTGTTTTGGAAATCTGCAGGCGGCCGACAGTGCGCGATAGTGAACTTTTTCATTACTTTCAAAACATTATGAAAATGCTATGATATTGTTTTTTCGGAGTGTTGGAATCTTTCTTGGAGCTCTCAGTTAGGCAAGTTTTTGAGAACATGAATGAAGATTGCAACACTCTCCTCAACGTGCAAGCCGTGGTCCCACTCAAGTACATGCAACCCGAAGTCGGTCACTAGTGTGGCACATAAACGTGTAAAAACATGTTTCGGCATGCACAGTTCATAGCGAAATATGCCACTGTGCCCATTATACATTTCCGCTATCCATGCCTTTCCCGTCAAGATGGACGTGCGACATGGGACTTTAAGCATGTGGGCCTTGTAGTAGTCAGAGGCTATTCTGTACGCTTCAACATAATTATTATTCATTTCAGTCTACCACTAGATTGCGAGCGCAGCGACATCATCACACATTTCCTCCATCCGTGCATTGTTGTCATCGTCGCTTTCCATGCCTAAATCACATAACTTCAAATAAAATGAGAAGCATAACATGGCAGACTACTACTCTGGCAAAATTAAACATCAGTCAAAACTAAAGGCTCTCAATAAAAGAAATGTTATGTATAAATAATCAATTACAGTTCCTTTGACATCCTTCTGAGAGCTTCTATTGTATAGTGTTGTTCTATTATCAATGGTGAAATCTTAAATATATATATTGCACTTTCCTTGATATGTTAACACATCATATATTTTTTTTAAACTACCTTACAAAGGGTCTAACTTTTAGTAATCTTTTTTTTTTCTTACTAATAAAATATACAAATAGCAATGAAATATACAAACAACAATCTTCAAATAAAATATACAGAAAGAATAAATTCAAATCTTTTTTTGGTTTTTACTACCTTATAAAGGGTCTAACTTACACTTTTCACCTAAAGCCTTCAGTAAACTTCAATTGTCTCTCTACAATTAGAAACTCTTTTGTTCAAATGGTCGAGTGTAGCAGATTTAGAACCACTGTTTACATAACTATGAAGCTGCAAATTGGAAGAGTTTGATCAGATTGATGGTTTATTCAAATTTAAAATTTTGAAATCCAAGCATAGCCAAACTCAAGCAATGTACATCCATAAATTTAAAACCAGGCAAACCTTGCACATGCATAACCAATTCAAGCAATTCTCCTTACAACATGGTCCAAACAAAGCATAGTTAAAAAAGCAAGTCCTTAGGAAATAGAAAACCAACATATTTAAAAACGAAGTCCAACACAAAGCATAGTTAAAAAAGCAGGTCTTTAGGAAATAGAAAAACAACATATTTAGAAATGAAGTCCTTTTTTGCGCAATATGCTTGCAAGAGTTGGAACAGTTGTCGTCCTCTCTTTGTCCTATTGCTTCACCTGGAGCCAGCCGATAATGCCTTCATCCGAAGGAATACTCATCACCATCTCCCTATTATTGGGCACCTCCATAAGCAAAATTCTGAAATGGAGTAGTGGATTAGTTTGGTCAAGTCCCTGAATTTCATAAAGACGTCCAACTGCTTCGGCCATAGTGATACTATGGCCACCGACAACATGGTTTATAGTGAGTTCCTTGCTCTGGGTCTTCATCGAATTGACCAAATCATCCATGCTTGTTGCCAATGCTTCTGCCCCGGTGATTCACTTTTTTTGCACGGCTATGATGGATGAGTGCCTCCTTTTGCTGCCACTACCTGATGCGTTAATGGTTGCAGATTTCATCAAGTTAGCCATTTCAGATGCTCCCAATTCATTGTTGTCCGTAGAAAAGTCAGCACTGTCGGACTTCCCTTCCACCTTCAATTGGTTCCACGTCTCCAGGCATCCAAGCATTTTTACCTGTTGCTACAACCCCAGTGAATACGTGACGCATCAACTTCTCATGATCCAACCACTTTGTTCTGAACTTGCAACATTCTTTATAAACCTATAATACGATAGAATGCGAGTAGACAGTTAGCAAAATAAATAACTTATGTATATGGAGTATGCACAAGAGTAATGAACAGTATAAGCATGAACAGTATAGGTGCTGCAAAAAAAAACCAAAAAAAAAAAAAGAATTGTCATGGCATGTTGCCTGTTTATTTCAATGTTGTAGATGTGAATAGTATAAGTAAATGTTGTAATATGTTTATGGAGTTTGACATCTGTTTATGGCATAGTTGGCTCGTTCGACGCATAACAAAATTATGTAAACATAAGTTAAAATCATTACCTTCTGCATTCTAGCCCACCATTCATCCGACGCATTGATCAACCCAGTCTCTTGGTCGAACGCAATTCCAGTGGGGCCTTTGCGACTATCCATTAGCTTCGACCATGCACGCCACTCCGCCTTAAGTTGATTGTACCTATTTTTAAGTTGTTTGATTATGGAGTTTGACATCTGTTTATGGCATAGTTGGCTCGTTCGACACATAACAAAATAATGTAAACATAAGTTAAAATCATTACCTTCTGCATTCTAGCCCACCATTCACCTGACGCATTGATCAACCCAGTCTCTTGGTCGAACGCAATTCCAGTGGGGCCTTTGCGACTATCCATTAGCTTCGACCATGCACGCCACTCCGCCTTAAGTTGATTGTACCTATTTTTAAGTTGTTTGATTGTATGCGTCAATCCAGTTGCTGCCTCATATGTCTTAGACAAAGACCGATACCCATTCTGAGTGATTGACATGTGCGACTTGTTACCTGCGTCTATTTCCTTAACAAGTTCCAAAAAGATACGTGTGTTCTCCTAGTCCCAATTTGCTTTGTGATGAGGTTTTGGGCCCTTCCCTTTGCCAGAAGGGGTACGAGAGCCGGATCGATTTGAGGCCATACGACTATAAGTACATTATAATTTGCGTAAATTGCAGTGCATTAGTTGTAGCAAAGATGTGAACCATATATTATTATGTTTGTATATTACGTATCACATTATTAAAATCACAAAAGAAACCCAAGATGTTGATGCTCGCAAGTTGTACAAATGTTTAGTTTTGGAACGGGATTGCCGTGCACCCATTTATGAACATAGAATTGAGAAACTACAAGTTCGCAAACAACACTGAACACAGGGAACACATATGATAAGTAATATATTACATACGAAAAGCATAGTATGGTAACAATCTAAACACGGATACATATATTACATACAGAAAGCATAGTACGCTAACAATCTAAACACGGATACATATATTACATACGGAACAACAAAATAACGACGATGATGGACAAAAAACATGTCACAGCTTTAAGTACACGCAGAGTCTGTTCAATGTCAATCAAACGCACCTCAAAATGACGAACATTGTCTCTGTCATTCTCAGGAGGCACTTGTCGGCCATATTTGTCACACCACCCAATCTAATTGACACATGGCTGAGGTTAAAAAAATTATTAGTGACGGTTTGACAAGGCAATTATCCCAAACAAGGTGAAGGTGCTTGTACTCACCACTCCACGAGGGCATTAGTAGTACGCACGTCCTGGATTTTTGGCAGACCGAGAAATCTTGACCACACAATGCCCGTACCCACGAGCACACATAGGGCCTAGTTGTGTTGATGTGGCAGTTGACATAAACGAGGCCATATAGTCTGTGATGACTTGTTTGATGACATGACAAGTACAACAAAACCGGTAAACAGGTGTGACACTTATGTTATGGGATAAGTTTGTTGTGTAAACAAGTTTCTTGTGTTAACAAGTTTGTCAGTGCACGTCATTTTTTATGTCTATAGGAAATTATGAAATGATTAATTGAAAAAAAAAAACTATTGGAAAAAAAGATTAATTGAAAAAAGAAGTTAATTGAAAAAAAAAATGAATAAAAATTAATTGAAAAAATAATTGAAAAAAAAAATAATTGGGAAAAAAACTATTTGAAAAAAAGATTAATTGAAAAAAAATTAATTGCAAAAAAGAATTAATTGAAAAAAAAATTAATTGAAAAACAAATAATTGAGGAACAATTAATTGCAAAAAAAAAAATAATTGAAAAAAAAATTAATTGACACAAATTTTTTTGGAAAAAAACTAATTGAAAAAAAAATAATTGAAAAAAAATTATTTTAAAAAAAAGTAAATGAAAAAAAATTATTTGAAAAAAAAATTAATTGAACAAAATAATTGAAAAAAAATTATTTGAAAAAAAATTATTTGAAAAAAAAAATAATTGAAAAAAAATTGAAAATTGAAAACGTAAACTCATTTTTTGAGTTTACGTTTTTTCCTCAAATTTATAAACTGAGACAACCATTTATAAATCCAAAAAATTATCAAACAAGTTTTTATGACAATTTTTTAAGTTTTTATAAATATAAACTAAAAACAAAAAAGGAATGGTTACCAAACAGACTCATAGTAATTAACAAGTTACCTTCTATTTATCAAAAATGTAGACAATATGAAAAAAATCAAACATAAACAAATAACCTTATAGGCAATCGTCTGCTATATTGAAAAAATCTTGCAAAGATGAGGCAACACAACAAAATTCAAAGTGAATGACATTATTCAACTAAAAAAAAAAAGAGAGAGAAAGTACCCATTTGGGATGCTCATTGAAGATTGACAGTGTATGAAATTACAAAAAGATAATGTCAACACAAAATACACACCAAATGTCTATGTGCATATACATTTCTCTTGTATACACACCAAATGTCCATGTGCATATACATTTCTCTAACAGAAAAAGTAAAGCCATTACACATAAGCAGAAGACCCAACAGTTACCAAACACCAAATAAACTATGGCACAAATATTGGATATGAAGTTTAGAAGTATATTTGTGTAAGAAAATGGTCCATATAATATATACATATATATTGGATAAAGGGCTGACCAAATATATATAAGCAGTAGCTGACTATTAGAGAAGGATTTGGAGATACTCTAGTACACGACCTGTATACACACCAAATGTCCATGTGCATATACATTTCTTTCACCGAAAAAGTAAAGCTATTAAACATAAGCAGAAGACCCAACAGTTACCAAAGACCAAATAAACTATGGCATAGATATTGGACATGAAGTTTAGAAGTATATTTGTTTAAGAAAATGGTCCATATAATATATATATATATATATATTGGATAAAGGGCTGCCCAAATATATATAAGCAGCAGCTGACTGTTAGAGAAGGATTTGGAGATGCTCTAGTACACCAAAAATGGTCCTTCCTTTTTTTTTTGTTTTCTTTTTTTTTTTTTTTTTTGATTTTGCTTTCCTTGGTGCACAATTTCAGAATCCCTATTGTACAATTATATTTCTAACTTGGAAAGAGTAAAAACCAATTGTTAAATATCTAAAAGAATTAACACAAACACACCAACATACAAAAAAATGTTTTATCAAACTCTAAATTATGTTTTTGCTAGATATTCATGTCAGGTTTACTTGTTTTCCGTGAAAATATTTAATTAACTTTCTAACTTGGGTAAATTTCTAGAAGAATTAACACAAATAAACCAACATAGAAGCAAATATTGCACCAATCTCTAAATTATGTTTTTGCTGGATATTCAGGTCAGGTATACTTCTCTCAATGAAAGCTTTTTTATATGAAAACAACTTTTTAACTTGTAAGAAGCTAAAACCCATTAGTAAATTTCTAGATTGTACACTATCCCTCCATTGGGAACCCACAATTTCATTTTTATCAAAAAATCCATTTCCAGCAAAACTTTAAATTCAAACAGACGTATGTCTGACAAACTTAACTCATGTGGTAAAGGATTCCATACCAATCTATAAAATGATAACAAATAAATAAATACTTTCAAAAAAACTGGAAACAAGATTCTTCAAAGAACATGAGCAATTTTTTTTTTTTTTTTTTGGGGACTAAAATACGAAAAAAAAAATGAAAACACAAATATAGTCCTGATATATCTGATATATATATAGGGGAAAACCACCTCTATATGTTTAGACTTAGAATGGAACACTGGATTGAAGGCTAAGGCCATAGCAGAGACATTGTCACACCATAACACAGGCACAGTGGAAGAAGGAACATATAAATCTTTGAGCAATTGTTGAATCCAACATATTTCTGCCATAATGTGAGCCATAGACCTATATTCAGCTTCAGTGGAAGATTTGGAGACTGTGGGTTGCTTTTTAGCAAACCAAGAGATGAGATTGGACCCAAGATATATACAAAAACCAGAAGTGGACCTTCTGTCAGTGCAGTCCCCTACCCAATTAGAATCAGCAAAGGCATGGAGATCATATGACCCTTTTTTGAAAGTAAGACCCTGAGAAATAGTGCCTTGAATATATCTCAGCAAGGGTTTAACTAGGGCAAAGTGAGCATTAGTTGGGGCTTGCATGTACTAACAAGCCTGATTGATGACAAAGGCAATGTCAGGTCGGGTAATGGTTAAGTACTATAAGGCACCAATTATGCTTCTATAAAAGGAAGGCTGAGCATAAGGAAGCATGAGCATAAGGAAGCACATCAATGAAGGAAGGAACAACAGAAGACTTTGGAGCAATAGGTGTGGAGCAGGACGTACAATGAACCACACTGGCTTTATGGAGCAGCTCTTGAGCATACTTGTGCTGAGATAAAAAATAACCAGTGGAATGGGAATGAACGGAGATGCCTAAAAAATAGGAGACATCTCCTAGTTCCTTCATGGAAAATGCCACATGCATCTGAGCAAGTAAAGCTTGAATCAAACTAGAATCACTACCCGTAAGCAAAATGTCATCTACATAGATGAGAAGAATAGTGATACTAGTAGATGTCTTTTTGATAAAGAGAGAAGGATCAAAATGGCTATGACAGAAGCCATGAGGAAGTAAGAAAGAGAAGAAGGTGGAGTACCAAGCCTGAGAAGCTTGCTTGAGGCTATACAAAGCTTTGTGTAGTTTGCACGCATGATGAGGAAAGTTGGAATCAACAAAGCCCTGAGGTTGCAACATATAGACCTCTTCATCCAATTTTCCATGTAAGAATGTATTGGAGATGTCCAATTGCTTGAGGGGCCACTGATTTTGAAGTGCAAGACACAAGAGAATACAGATAGTGGGTTGCTTAGCAACAAGACTAAAAGTTTCATCATAATCCACCCCTTCTTGTTGCAAGTATCCCTTAGTAACTAAGCGAGCCTTATAACGAGCAATGGTACCATCAGAATTATTTTTAATACGAAACATCCATTTGCAACCTATAGCAGATTTGGTAGAAGGAGAAGGAACAAGAGTCTAAGTACCTTGTCTATGTAGAGCCTGAAACTCTTCATTCATAGCAGTAAGCTAGAAAGGAAAAGTTAAAGCTTGAGTAGCAGTCTGAGGCTCAGTAATAGTAAGATCCACTGGAGGAGTGTGAGCAAGATAACAAGAAGGAGCTGGAAGAGGCTGAGAGCGAGAAGAAACTTTAGACCTAGTAGTCATAGGATGAGTATTACAGGAAGAAGAGTGAGAAGGGATAAATGGCAGGTGAATAGAAATAGACTCAATAGGAATAGAAGAAGCAGCAGGAACAGTAGGTACTTCAGCTACAATAGGAACTGCAGGTAAGGCAGAGACTGCAAGAACAGAATTGGTAGGTGGAACAGAAGAAGCCATAGGAGCAGAAAAAGATGAGGAAGTGGCATGAGGAATAGGTGAGGAAGAGGTTGCAAACTGAGAAGGAGACCAGAAAACTGATGTAAGAGTGGGTAGAGTAGGAG